CTTTATTCTTAGTAAACTATAGATACTACCCTTAAATAAAATTTAAACTACTTATAAATACTCTCTAACTAACTTATTAATCTATATAAGTAATAAATATAAATAGACTTATTAATAAAATTTAAAATATATTTAAATATATTTATAAAAAGCTTATATAAGCTTAAGCTTTTTAATAAGAGTACATAAACTAATTTTAAACTCCTGCCCTTACATATGTAGCTAGTAAGAAGGTCTAGCTAGACGCTAGAAATATCTAAATAAACTAATAATTAAAAAAACTTAATTAAAAGAACCTTAGCTTCTTTATAGTAGCCTATATAGTCTTATTACACACTTACTAATTAATCCTACCTAACAGCATAAAGATACACCCTGTGTTCTATGTATTATTGCTGCGCTAAGTAGCCCCTAAATCTAACTATTTACTTAAATAGCTAAACCTGCTATCTAAACTTATTATTATAAATAATAAACTAGAATATGTTATAAAAAATGTTAAATAAATCTAGTTTAATAAAAAAAAACATATTTATAAATACTTTATAAAATAGACTAGATATAATAAACTGTTATAAGAACTTATAAAAGCCTTATAAAAGAACTTTACAGTAACTTAATTTTATGCCTAATACTTATCTAAACTAAACTTATACTCTAATAAAAATAACCTAATACTAGAACTACTAATGTAAAAGATTCCCTTCCTAATAAAAGAGGGGGTACTGTTATAGTATCCTCCCTAGATCCTAGACATAACTATATTAGACATGTACTAGAGTATTATTAGTGCACGTCTAACATAAATACAACATAACATAGATATAAACTTAAGCATAAACTACCTTAACACTAACTAAACTTAGAATAGGCTTAATTTATACTTAAAGCGCTTAGACTTTTAAGTTAAGTATTTAATTACTAATTTTCTTCTAAACCTTTCTGTTCTTTACATAACGTCTTATACTTACTATAATACCTTACGTAGTAATTAAACTAGACCTCTGTGAAGCTCTATAACCTTACTCGTGCACAATCGTGACACCTAGTAGTTGTAAACTCTAAGCAATACCTTTAAATTTAAGTTATAATTAATGCTTGTAAAGGCAAAGATTTAGAGGCATGTAGATAGCTTACTAACGTCTATAGTAGAGGCCTTTAAGAAGGTCTTAAAGAGGGCATTAATTATTGCGCACAAGCTAGTGTTAGCGCAAAAGGAGATTATAGAGCTTTAAGCAGCAAATAAGGCTGCTACGTAATGTAGATTGCATAAAAAGAAGCAGATTTAGGCAGAAAGAACCTTAATAGTTAAGAATAGGGCTTGTCTAACTGCTCTAAAGGAGTTTAGAGCGCGTAGTGATAGGAAGAAGCTAAAGACGCAGGTGCGCGCTAAAGAAGGTAAGCTAAGTTAAAGGCGATGTAGGCAGTGCAATTAGACTAGGCATAACTTGCGTACGTGTAAGAAAGTAGCAGAAGTAGACTCTAAATAATATCTTATGTTGTATTGCTCTATACAGGGCTAAAGTGGGCGGTTTCGCGCCAGAATGGGGTGGTTTTAGTGGGGGCTTGGCAAAAGTGGCCGGCCAACCCGTGTGGCCGGCCAACCCGTTAGGTACGTTACTAAAAAGTAAGTAGATAAAAATCTTTTTATTATTAAC